CACTCTCTGCTGCTGTGAATGACAATCTGGTTCCGCGAAAGCCACAGTTGCAGAATCCTACGTGGCGTTTCAAGGAAGGGTGAGCCAGCGAATGGTTAGAAAGAAGCAGGGCTCAGATTCCAGCTGTGCCCTTCAGTGCACGTGGGGCGCCCGACAAGCCACTGCATTCTGAGCTCCAGTTCCAGATCCTCAAAAATTGAGAGAATACTAGGAACAACACAAAGGGTATTTGCGAGGACTAGATGGGCTAATAAAAACCACTCAGTCATAGTGACTTCCGCATAGTTTGTCTTTGTCAACAGGAAGCTATTACTGACAGTAAATAGAGCTTTCCGTATTTGGTCTCATCTTATTTTCATGAAAAACTGTTGCTATAATAGTCCAGTGTGACTCGAATAAGCCAACAGCAGAAGCAATAAATGGAAGAAGAGTGTTTGAGTGTCATGTATTTCACACACAAATCCTTGAAGTGGGCTTTATATTTGACTGGCTCAAGGATCCAAGAAATGGACTAATTTGCCCCCAGTCACAGAGCTAGGACTGGGGACGTGTGTGACGTCCCCTCTCAAAAGGTAAATAAGTGAGACGTCAAAGGCTGTGGGTCAGAACACGGGTCACTTTTCTAAACTCTCGAAGGGAACTCGGGCCCCGAGCTGGGGCAGCGGCTGTGTGGCTGAACCCCTCCAGGCTGCAAGGAGAACCTGGCCTAGGCGTGTCCTCGCTCCCCAAGCAGGAGACCCGTCGCGCGGCCCTCCTCCCCGTCTCGGGCCGGCAGCTCGTACCTCAGGCAGGTAGCGCGGGTTTGGCAACTTGGTCGTCATGTAGAACCTGAAGTGCTTATCGTAGTCAATGTCCGAGTCTCCGAGGCGAATGAGCAGCCGCCCGCCGCTGGTGAAGATCTGTTTCAGCAGGATGGGCTCCAGGGCCGGGTCCAGGGTCTCCCTGAGCTTAAAAAGAAAGCAAAGCAAAACGGCACAGAACAGCTGCGTCATGAAAACGGACGGCAGCAGCCTCTCCAAATGTCTTAGGCCCCGGAGTTTACTCTGAACGGGCAGCTTTCAGTGATGGCCTGGCTGTTTCTTCATGTCCCCTCCCTGCCTCTCACCGTGCACATACTCCAGGGACTGTTTTATCAACAGTCTAAGGAGACAAGGGCACGGGAAGGCAACACGCCGGTTTAGACCAGCCCTACGCGGGACAAAGCCGCCGAGAGCGAGGGCCCTCGGGGCGGTCCTGCAGCAGGTCCCCGACCACGGGAGGTCTGTGCGCTTTCATGGCGGCCGTGGGTCACGAGTCGGCCCTCTCCGGTCTGCAGGCCGCCCCCGGCCCTCTGGGGCCTGCTTTTGTGTGACTCTTGAGCTGAGAATGGTTTTTTACCTTTTTAAAGGGTTGTAAAACCAACAGAACCCCCAAAGTAAACGAATCCAAGAGTGTTCATTCAGAGAATATTCATACAGAGACTGTATGTGACGTGACAAATCTAAAATGCCTTCTGGCTCTTTATAGAAAAAGTCTGTGGGTCTCTATTCTGTATAATAATTTCTTTCTTCCCTCAAAGCAGATCTGATTGTTGGTAAAAACAAAAGGGCACGCAGACATTAGCAACAGACCCCATGACAAACATCCTGTGTCAGCATGTACGTGATGGGGGCCCGCAGCCCAGGAGCTGTCAAAATTTGATGTAATCCATGGTTAACAAATCTAGTTCACATTGTGATGTGGTCTCCAAGCATGCAAATTCCCAGAACAAAAGTTCGTGAGGTAAGATTTCCCTTACTCTCCACGATACAATTTTGTGCTTTTTGAAAGCCTGTTCTCTTTCATTTAAAAATGCTGACTGAGGTCGACTCAGTTGATTTCACACCCATGAGTGGGTGGAGACAAAGTTTGAAAATACCACCCTACGTCACAGAAAGCAGGAGGGGCCCAGTTGGGGGGTCCTGTTCCTGGCGGGGCCCTCCCCACAGGCCCACCCTCACTCCCAGGAGCATCAGCCACAGTTAAGAGGCTCTGCTGTCTGAGGCAGAACATCACAGAAGGTCTTCTGTCCACGGCCATGCGAGAAGAAATCCCCTCTGGAACTCCTGGGTCATGAAGTGACCTGGGGCTTAAGAGCCCCGACGGGCACAGAAAATAGCCTTACGGTTACCAGGGGGGAAGGGGGTGGAAAGGGATAAACTGGGAGTTCAAGATTTGCAGATACAAACTACTGTGTGTAAAATAGATAAACAACAAGTTCATACTGTACAGCACAGGGGACTATATTCAATATCTTGTAGTAACTAATGGTGAAAAAGAACATGAAAACGAATATACGTGTGTTCATGTATGACTGAAGCATTGTGCTGTAGACCAGGAATTGACACAACATTGTAAACTGACTATACGTCAATAAAAAAAAATTATATATACACACACAAAAGAATCAGTCTGGGGCTAACATAACTGTGCCAGAGATTCTAGGGAGACTGCACCCTCTCCTGTAACTCCAGGGTCTGAATGAGGGCCTGGGGCCCATGGCAGAACCTGGCCCGTGTAGGTCAAGGCCACGAGCCCCACACGGAGGCTTTTTGTGCTCTTTGTAGTTTGAGCTGGGAGGCTGGTAACTTGCTGTGAATTTTCTAGACAGTCAGGCTGCTCTGATGGTTTACTTAACCTTTCTGGGCCTCAGTTTCCTCACTGGTAAAATGGGATAATAGTAGTGACTACCCTGTAAGGCGGCAGTGAGGATTAAAGGGTTAATATGTGTAAACTACCACAGCAGGTCTGGCCAGGGGAGCGAGCACGCAGTGTGCAGTGCGTGGTAGCTGAAGCTAACATTACTGACTCTTCTGCAGCTAAGCTGCCCCCGGCCTGCGGTCTTTTCCGAGCTGCTCGCCCTTCTGCTGCAGGAGTCTCTTTTGTGCCCAAGGCCATCGTACAGCCTGTCCCCTTTGCCTGGAAAGCCATCTCTCCGAGCTCTTCACGTGGCTGAGCTCTTCACGTGGGTCACAGCTCAACTGTTACCTCCTGTAGCCGTGCATTTAATTTACCTCCCCCACCCCACCCCCTTATTGGCTATGTCAGCCCTGGGCTCGTCCCTTCAAAGCCCTTACCATTCGTTCTCTTCCTTCCTTTCTCCCTCATTCCCCCTCTTTTCTCTGTTTACTGACTTTGCCCCCAACTAGACTGTAAACTATCAAGGGCAAGAACCACACGAGTACTGATGGCCTTTGATTCTCAAACAATGTGTGTTCACTGAATGCACAAGCTGGAAAATATCCACTCTTGGGGTGATTCTGAAGAAATCAAGCACTTAGACTCAACAAACATCTTTTGTTTCGTTTTAAACAAAAGTTCCTATCACTCCACTTAGTCTAATTCTGACCTTCCGTCTAAGTGGAACATAACGTTTATACCCACTGGGGGTTTTACTGGCTTCACATCCTTGGTGCGAGGAGACACTCCCTCATTGGCACCACTGCTTCGAATTTTCAGGGCAGCTAACGGCGGGGAGCCACGCGAGGCCTGAGAATCAGCCGTGTCAGGAAACTGAGCCCATCCCACTTAACACCAAAGCAATGTCTGGAAGCAAAAAAATTCCTTCGGTCACAGACGGCCCCCCCCTCTGAGAGTGTACTGTACTGTTTGAGGAGCAAAGCAATCGGTTTGACCAGTTTGAAGAGGGAGCTGGCTGGGGTGTTTAGTGGGAGGCAGACATGGCCGGTACAGGCTCCCAGGTGTGGCCTGAAGGCTGGGAACTAACGCAAAAAAAGTGCAAAGCGAACCTCTTCCAGTAAGACGGGTAAGCCGAGGCGGATCGAATTTTCAAGTATGCGCAAGAAATTACTGTCCGTAAGCTTGACGATCTTTAAACCGTTTTTGTTCTCTTTGTTTCTTATCCAGCGGTTTGCCTGTGTGAGAAAGCGCAGAGCGAGATGTTTAGTTCAGGGCTGGCTAGAAAGTGAAAGTTTGTAAAGTTTAGAGGTTTCGTTCAATCTAGAAACCAGAAAGATAACAAGATAAAAATTTTAAAAACCCTCCACTCCCCCTACAAATAAAAAACACCTTTTGAGTCTAATGTTTAGGATTCTTTCTTGTATTCAAATTTGGAGCAAATGAAGGAAGACCCCCCCCGAGGAAGCAAGCCCCCCTGGCGGGATTCACGCTCGTCCCCTGATTTCAAACGGGCGCCTTTTCCTAAACCCCCCGTAGAACAACTGGTCCGCAGACTCAGGAGTCGGACAGTGAGCTTCTGTAAATTCCAGGCAGGTGCGCCCTGGAAGTCACCATCCTCTGGTTTCATTCCGGCTCCTCAGTCCTTTTAGGAACAAGGACTGTGCTGGAATGAACTTCTGCTCCCACAGAGAAAACAAATGGTCAACCCCTTAAACAAAACCAATTGAAACCAAGTGTGCAGAGCACTTGGTCGGTTCCTGTTTTACTTTCTGTCTCTACACAGTGAGGGACGTGGACGAGAAGATGTCTAAACCCCCTCCCAGGTCTGCATCCCCAAGATCTTACAGGGGCGTTCAAGTCCACTTTTAGAACCTGTAAGAGCACGGTGTTAGCCGACTTAACAGGCTAACAGCTTATCTGAGGCCCTGGTCTCACACCTGATCTTGGGGGTCAATCATCAGAGGCCACCGTCTCCCTTGAGTGACCAGGATGCCGTTTTCCGTTGATACCAGGTCTCGGGGCAGCCCGTCTGTGTTCCACTGCCGTATCTCGTAGGGGTCGCCGAGCGTGTTAATGAGACTGAAGGAAGGATTGATTGGGATCTCCAGGGTCTGACAGTCCTGTATCCAACACTCAATAAGCTGTAGAAGGAGAAAAGCTCGCTTGTGTAGAGTCAGCAACACTCGGTGAACGAGGACACACCCAGACTGCAAAGGCACCCCGGCGCCAGGGCACAGGGCACAGCAGATCGGGGGGCTAGACCTACGCCATTCACTAGTGGTGGCTTGGGGCATGTCACATGCCCTGTCTTGACCTTGTATAAATGACACAGGGGTTGTCACAGTAGGCTTCAGCATGGGCTGCAGGCTCCCCTTGGGAAGAGACTGGAAGCACGTGGAGAAGTTTGGGGTTATCACAATGGCTGTGGGTGCTACTGGCAATCAGTGGATGGGGCAGAGGGCTGTGAGCAGGTCACCTCCTGCAGGGAGCGGCACAACCATGCACAGCAGAGAACTGTCTGTCCCCCGAGCGCATCCCTGGCACCACTGCCCGCTTGGCGCCAGATGCCCCTGAGCTCCTGGAGAGTGTGTGTAACTCCTGCACCAATGAGGTTTTATAACCCAGGGGCAGGGCAGAACATTCGCAGGGAAGCATTTCGTAAAAGTGGCTTGAAAAGCCCTCCAGATCATTCAGTTTCCTGCTCCTGCCCAATGCCCAGCCCTCTGCAGCAGCCTCTCCAATTCAGGACGCTTCATCCTGCCTGACTTTATTTTATTTCAATTTATTTTTTAAAAACATATATATTTACTGAAGTATAGTCAGTTTACAATGCTGTGTCAATTTCTGGTGTACAGCACAGTGCTTCAGTCATATAGGAACATACATTCGTTTTCATATTCTTTTTCACCATAGGTTACTGCAAGGTATTAAATATAGTTCCCGGAGCTGTACAGTAGAAACTTGTGGTTTATCTATTTCATGTATATTAGTATCTGCAAATCTAGAACTCCTGATTTATCCCTTCCCACACCCTTCCCCCTGGTTAACCGTAAGTTTGTTTTCTATGTCTGTGAGTCTGTTTCTGTTTTGCTAAACAGGTTTGTTTGTCTTTTTTTTTAGATACCACATATAAGTGATATCATATGGTATTTTTCTTTCTCTTTCTGGCTCACTTCACTTAGAATGACAATCTCCAGGTCCATCCATGTTGCTGCAAATGGCATTATTTTATTCTTTTTTATGCATCCTGCCTGACTTTATTTTATGTTATTTTTTCGGGGGGAAGTAGTTAGGTTTTGTTTTTTTTTAATAGAGGTACTGAGGATTGAACCCAGGACCTTGTGCATGCTAGGCACATGCTAAACCACTGAGCTATACCTGCCCCACCTCATCCTGCCTGACTTTGGCTGCCACTCCTGATCCTAGGGGTAGGAGACTCCCTGGCTCTTTCTCTCCCCCCAGGTTCTGTGCTGTGTAAGCAGGTGATGAGCAACTTTCTCAGGCAGGAGAGGAGAGGGAGGGCCGGGTCAAGGCGAGCCTCGAGGCAGCCACCGCTGGCTGCTGGGGGAGGTGGAGGGCTGTGGAATGTATAGGGAAGTTTCCATCACGGAGAAACTCCCTCAAAACTGGGTCCCCCACGCCCCCACCCCGCCTCCCAGTTTCACCCGCTGCTCTCGGAAGGCAGGTCTCCTCACCGACTGCCTGTACTGGGCTGTGAAGGCCCCGTAATAGGCCACACAGGCCGCTGCTATGAACACGTTCCCGACGATGTTCGCTATCTCCTCGCTGAACTTCTGGATGCTCTCCTCCCATCGAACTTGCTCGTCCCCCAGCGCGGCCGTCAGCTTTCCCGCGCGCACCAGACGCGCCTTTGTCAGGGCCATCGTCTTTGCTGGGAAATTTTAAGACAACCAGGCCGTGTTATTCAGTGTTTCCCTAAAGTATACGTCGTTTATCCACCGGCTTCTGTTTATAGCGGAACCAGCAATATTTAGCTAACGATGTCGACACATCTCTAGGGAACCCTACACCAGCAGGGGCTTAGTTCCCATTTCAGAGCCAAGTCCAAGTCTGCCTCTTCCACGCAGAGAGCATCTTTTCGATACTCCTTGACTCTGGCTGAGGACAGCACTGTCTTCATGCTCCTATAGTATTTATTTTCTGGATCAAATTCAGAAAACGTGCTGCTCCGTGTCAAAATGTGGTATTTCCCCCAAAGGCATTATTCGGATATAGGAGTTGAATATACACAACACAGGCAGTTGTCCTAGTGTCACACTAGGAGGCTAATGCAATCCATCTCATGCAGATACGCCCTACAGGTTGGATGGAGGCTGAGATCTGACCGCCTTTTGAAAACTGTTTCGACTTTTGAAAATCAGGCCCTTTCAGAACAACATAAATTTTATGAGTTACTCACCCAGACTTTCCTTCTCACTCACACTTTTGTCATATTTATCTTGCAAGGTTCGTATTTGATCTTCCACTTGTTTTAGCAATGCCTGTTTTTCTTTCAGAGTAGCCATGGTCATATCAAGTTCAGCCTAATAAGATCAGGTACGTATTTAACAACAAGCCCCAAAAGAAAGTTGAAATTTATCCATTTGTAACAGGGTTTTTTTTGTTTGTTTGTTTTTAAGGATTTATGTTCTTTTTCTCCCAAAAGATTTTGATATGATATATACAAAGTTAAAACAAATATAAAATAGAACAAAATATAGGAGCAGAAGCAAACAGAACAGAACAGAACAAAACAAACCCCACCAAAATAAATCATAGAAGGATTAGAGAAATAAATGTACTAAGCATCTGGGGATGAATTAGCCATTATAATAAACTTTAAATGGTAGAACAAACGAAATAGCCATGCAACAGTGAAAGCGAATCTCTCCTGACTAGTTCTCTAGGGCAGAGGTCTGCAGCTTTGGCCTCGAGGCCAAACTCAGCCCACTGCCTGTTTTTGTGTGGTTTGTGAGTGAGAATGGTTTTACACTTTTAAACAGTTAAGGGAAGAAAAAAATCAAACGAACAATGTTATTTCATAACACATGATAACTGTATGAAATCTGAAGTCCAGTGTCCGTAAGTAAAGCTACACTGGGACACAGCCATGCTTATTCACGTTTGAATTGTTGACGGCTGTTTTTATGATGCAACGGCAGAGCTGAGTAATGGCAACAGAGACCATGCAGCCAGCAAAGCTTAAAATATTTACTACCCGGATCTTTATAGAAAAAGTTTGCCAGCCCTGCTCTGTAGCCGTGGCTCTTCCGGTGACCTGCTCCGCTGATCAATCTTGGTTCTGCTTGAGGCCTCCCAACTGACTGTGGCTCACGCTGGTTTTTAGAACCTCAGGTAACACACTCAAGTGTGGGAGAATTTATCAAATGGAAACCTAGAACATTGGATGCTAGAGCTAAAACAAATTTAAAAACACCAGGGGTCTGATGATATGGTACAGGGAAGACCCATTTCCCTTTTATGCTGGGAGAGGACTGATTTTAGAGATCGTTTCCGAAAAAATAACCCTTGCCGGCTAAGCTATTCTTTTTAAACAAAAACGAATTTCCAAGAGCGCTGTCACTGTATTGTGTGCCCTCAGCAGCGCCTCAGTCGGAGCTCGCGTGCTTGCTGGCGACGGCCTCTCATTCTACAAAACCTCACGGCACAGACAACGTACCTGCGCAGCGCGGAGCTTTTGCCTCTTTGGTTCCACTTCTTTGACCACCCGGGAGTACAGATCCATTGCTCTCACCCACATGCACATGGATTTGCACGCTTTGGACACTTTCTCTACTTTTTCAGGCACAAAATCAGGGTTATTGATGTACTTCTGAAGCTTTGCCAGGACCTGGGGCTTTATGTTTTCCTTATCATATTCTAGAAGTCTTCTTAGGAAGTTAGAGTCACCGAGCAGTTGCTTCGCTGTGGGCCAGTCAGGCCTGAAAGACACACACGACGGATTAGTGGCACTCTCCTAAAGGAATGTAAGATCAAAAAAAAAAACATGTGTTCCTTTGAGAACTTTAAAATGTTATCCCACGGATGGCTAAGAGACTTACTGTGATCATTTCATAACATGTGCAAAATCCAGTCACTACACAGCACACCTAAAACTAACATAAACGCTGTACATCAACTATGTTTCTATAAAATAAATAAACTAAAAACATTACCCCAATGAGTGGGTAGTTTTAACCTCAGTAGTGTAATCCCAGAAACTGGTAGTGACGTGCAACACAGCTCATGGGGAGACAGGTAACGTGGATGACTAAGGTTCCATACAAGCCAGCTGCGGTGGAGAAAGAATTATAGACCGGCAGAGTTGCAGAAATGTAAGGCATTACAGAAATGAGAGTTTTATTTTTCAAATACCTCAAGCACCCACATTTTTACCTCCCTTGCCTTAAAATTTCTTGCACGAACACCGTAATCACCTTCAAACCTGTTTTATCTCTCAGTCAAACTCGCCCCCTGTGGACTTTGGCCAGATTGGTCTTTCTCACGTGGAAATCTGATGATGTTGACAGTGCTCACTGGTTCTCAGTCCCCTCTGGCCAGGGCTCTCCACCTGTGCTCCGAGAACCCTCAGGTCCCAACGACGTGCTGACCAGTGGGTCCGCGGGGAAGCCTGGCGGTGGCGGCTGGGGAGGGGTAGGTGCTCTGGGCGCTCTGCCTTCACTAATCAGTCTTACATAGAAAGGTTTCTCATAACATAATTTTTTATTAAAAAAGATTAAATTACTAAAGAAAGTTTGAAAACGACATTATCTCCAAGATGAAATCTGAACTGCTCAGCAGAGCACACGAGACGGTTCACGGTGTGATCACTGCCCTGCCGCCCAGCCCCGCCCGATCCTGAGCTCTCCCCACGGTCCACTCTCCACCCGAGCACCATTTCCCCAGACACCTGCTCACGCCCCCCAGGGGCCCTGGGCGCTCTCTCCTTGGCACTCCTAATACTGCACGACTCTCGCAGGCCTTGAAATGATCACTTTTCATGCCTGTCTCCCCACTAGACTGTCAGTCTCTCACACGGAAGAAATTTATCTCTCTTACCATCTAACGCAAAATAGATGTCCCCTCCCCCCCAAAAAAGGCCTGTGGAATCAATTTGTCGAACGACTGACCAAATCAACGAGAAGGAGGCGAAGAGAATGAAGACACGTAAGTGAAAATGAAGAAAAAGAGCAAAGAAATCCCGCCAGGTATGCTGGCAACCGGTGTTCTGAGGAGGCACTCACTTGGCATTCAGGAGGATGGAAATTGCTTCCATCACGGTCATGACCAGGTCCGGGGGCTTTGTGAAGACTCTGATCTCAGATATGTCCGCCTTGTCTAGGGAATCCAGCGCCTTGTTGGCAGCCTCCAGCGCGGGCAGCGCTTCTTCAAGGTCTCGCTGAGCGTCGTCCGCTATCGCTTGGGTTTCTTCCGCCTTCGCTTTTGCTACCGCTTCGTCCTCCTGCACGATGTTGCGGACCTAGCCGTCGAAACATGGCTGCTTGAGTGGTCTTGGGGTTTGAATGTCAATGTTTAAAAACAAAGCCAATGATAGAGAGTCACATTTGCCCCCTGGGATTAGACTGATGATGAAAGAAGGTTCGCCAGACCATATCTCGTGCTCTCCCGTGTCCACGTCGCACCACATGGATAGAATAGTGGGGACAAATGGGGACAGAGTTATGAGGACAAACAGCTCCTTCTTAGGAGCAGACTGGCTGCGTTCTGTTTGTAGCGGGTATTTTCTTTCAGCTCTCTCTGTGCCACATGTTGGGTTCACTCATTCTCAGGGAGAGAATCAGGCTGACTTTTGAAGGAAGATTGGTTTTTTGGGGTTTTGTTTTTAGAATTTTTTTTGGGGGGAGGTAATTAGGTTTATTTATTTATCTATTTTTAATGGAGGTACTGGGGACTGAACCCAGGACCTTGTGCTTACTAAGCTATACCCTCCCCCTTATTGAAGGGGGATTGTTCACAACCTAAAGGCATGGCTAAATTTCTCTACCACTCAATTATTTTAATAACATATTTAAAAAACCCAATCACTTGTCACTGTATATAGGTGACCAGCTGGAGGTCAAAGCTTGCTCACCCGTGGTCAGCCAGAGTTGCGTACCTGATCGGCGTTTTCTTGATCTACTGCCAGTTTGTCCATAAGGGCTTCAACGTCTTGAGATTTCGTTAAGAGGACAGGTTCCAACGCGGAAAGGTCTAATTTCATTTTGTCTACGAGAACGTTTGTCTCCAATAGTTTGGTGAGACCATTCTTCACCCGTTCACGCGCCTAGATGACAATGAAGATACCTATTTTGACAAGTATTATAAACTGGCATCTCTCACTCATGCACTAGAATTTCACATCTACAGAATTGGTGAATCAGTTTGCAAAACTTAACGCTTGTGAGTGTGGGGAAATCTTCAGGTCACGGAACCCGAGGAAATGGCCCTGACGTGCACCACAGTGGGTTTGGACCTGTGCTCCTTGGACACGGGGGTGGGACGTCACAGGGCTGTGGGTTCCCGGAGGGCCCACACTGTAGTATTTTTATTCCCTGTGGTAGCTTGGTAGCACGTTGAATGAGTGAGGGACAAATTCAGATAGAAATTCTTGCGGGTCACAGCTCTGGAAGCCTGTTTCCTCAGGATGGATCAGCAGGGCTGAGACCACCCCTCTCCCCCAGGAGATAATGTCCTGAGTACTTAGCTCTGGTTGCTGATCTGAACCTTACTTCCCAGTGGCGGGAAACTCTTGACTAGGATCAAAGGGGCAGTATCTGGTAGGGAAGGCACCTGGGGATAACTGCTTTTTGAGGGTGAGACAGAAAATGTGGTTCAAATTGGCAGGTTTCAAAACTATATGTCACTTTATTTTACTAGGCATACATTTACCAGGTCAAAAATCCTCTGAAAAATAAATGGCAAATGCTTCCATTTTTACTGTGTTTAAAATACTGAACATTATAGGTCATGTGAATAGCCTGATGATGATGATGGTGGTGGTGATTATGATGGTGGTGGAGATGGTGGTGGTGGTGGTGATGGTGATGATGATGGTGGTGGAGATGGTGGTGGTGGTGATGATGGGGATGATGATGGTAGTGGTGGTGACGGTGGTGGTGGTGATGATGGCAGCCATTATTTTCTGAGCACCTCATATGTGTCAGATCATATTCCAAGCACTTCACAAATAATAACTCATTTTAATTCTACAACAATCCAAGAAATAGATATATATTTTTTAAGCCTTATTTTCTACTAAGACTCGGAGAAGTTACAAAACATGCTTAACACTGTGCAGGAAGAAAGCAGAGCAGAGGTTGTAGCTGGTCTGCCTGACACCAAAGTCCTTGCTCTCAATGGGAACCACTGACATGTTAAGGCCACTAGAACCTCATCTCTATTACTTCACAGAAAGGTTTACTTCTTATTAAATCCTGCAGAGGTGACTAGTTCTCTGCTTAACTTTAATTCTGTTACAATATCCAAATCATGCTACTGAGTCAAGGGCACTTACGTAAATGACAGAAGACAAAATATAAACATCAAGAAAGGGGACAGCCTTTGGACCGACAGCATGGGACACTTTTTGGTCATATTGTAGGTTAGCAAAGGCATGCACAGGATGGGGAGGGCTCCAGCAGGCAAGGTGGCACATAGCTCTTCCACTCACTCTGGTGAAAGCTTTGAGTTCAAGCGAAAAAAAGAATTATTAGTAATATTAAGCTTACTGAAACCAACTGCTTCCTCTTCTCTCGCAGCATGGACAGGCAGAGATTGATGAGCTCCAGGTAGGAGGTGGGCGTTGTGTAGTACCTTCTCCGGAGCTCTGCGTAATAGCGGTCAGCCATGGTGGAGACGCTCAAGTGAACGTTCACGCACATGAGCGCGAGCTTCTCTTTCAGTTCATCGCTGACAGCATCAACATTTGAGAAAAATGTCTTTGACACAGAAAGAAGTGCTTCTTTGGGCCACTGTAAATCAAGATATAATTTTGAAAGTCTCTCGCTCATTTCCATAGCACACGGTTGAACAATTAAGAAATGTGCCCGGCTCTGAAACTCCTCTTGCCTTGTCCCCCTGCCCCTTCACCTTGCTCATTCCTACTCAGGACCATGAGGTTTAATGAACTCGGTGGCTGTACTCATGAGAGGGGGGGTCTGGGTCTGCATTTGCTGACATCAGCACACGGCCTGGTGTACAGAAGTTGTTACATAACTATTTGTTGATTGAACGAATAAACGTGGGTGTCTTTAGAATTTCATAAATAAAATCACATGTATTATGAGGACCTCATGTCCTCTATTTATTATACAGTGTGAACTTCAGGTCCATGATTATAATCAGTGTCCTATTCAGCTCAACTCCTTTGCCTTTCTCTCGTCTCTTTGAGCTCCCTTGAACCTCAGTCTAGTGCAACTCTCTGTAACCCCATGCCTGCAACTGTGCACACAGCACTGCTGGAGAAGAACGCAGCCACGCTGACTGGCCTCACTTTAAATTCACGACAGCTAGCTCCAGCGGGTTCTCAGTGAAGCCCAGAAATGCTTCACAGTGTCTCATACATCACTTCTGTATTCTCCTGAGTGAGTATTTCACACCCTGCATTACTTCCTCAGACTGCTAACACTTCTTTCCTCTTTTTTTGCAGCTCATGACCTTGCACCCCTCCATCACTAAAAAAACAAAAGCAATGAAAACAGAACTTCAGTGAGCTTTCATCCCCTCACCTTCCCATATGCTCTGGGTTGAGCTGTGATCAGCCCCTTCATTGATGAATCCATCCCATCCCTTCTTGCCTATTCGATGACATTGGTCCAACAATGCCTAACTGTCTTCAGCACCATATATATAATTCTCTTTTCTGAATCATTTCCATCAGCACATGTGTGCTGTTTATGTTCCCCTCTTAAAAATATTTGTCTTCACCTCACATATCCTTCTAGCTTATTACCCATCTCTCAATGTTCCTTTGGGGGAAACCCTGAAAGAGCTGCCTCTGATTCCTCTCCCTTCTTCTCTCTTGACCCCTCTTCCCCATCACTCCACTGAAACAGTTCTCGTCAAGATCACTGGTAACCTCTACACTGAGAAATTTAATATCTTCTCTGCCTTATAAATTCTGTTTTGCCTTTGTTCAATGATTGTCATTATCATCCCCTGCCTATGAATAAATTCATAGTGGGCTTTGAGGCTAATGTAAGTGCCTTGAGTTATCACTGGACAATGTGTTACCCCTTTAAAATTAAGCAAGTCCAGGCGTATATCCAGAAAAGACCAAAAACTCTGATTTGAAAAGATTCATGAACCCCAGTGTTCACAGGAGCACTATTTACAACAGCCAAGACATGGAAACAACCTAAATATCCATCGACAGATGACTGGATAAGGAAGATATGGTATATTTACAAAAAGGAATATAATTCAGCCATAAAAAGGAATGAAATAATGCCATTTGCAGCAACACTGATGGACCTAGAGATGTGTCATCCTAAGTGAACTAAGTCAGAGAGAGACAAGTATCATATGATGTCACTTATACGTGGGATCTAAAAGAATGATATACATGAATGATATACTTATTTACAAACCAGAAACAGAGTCAGAGACATAGAAAATGAACTTATGGTTACCAAAGGGGAAAGGTGAGGGTGAGCGGCAAATTGGGAACTTGGGATTAAAAGATACACAACAAGGACCTACTATGTAGCACAATAAACCATATACAATACCTTGTAATAACCTACAACAGAAAAGAATCTGAAAAATAATACGTATATATGGCTGAGTCACTTTGCTGCACACCCGACACTTTGTAAGTCAGATGTACTTCAATAAAGAACATAAAATCAAGCAAGTCCAGCGTCTCAGAGAGATATCCTGTGACGCCACCGACCTGGACAAACCAATCAATGGTGCAGCAGTTCACCAGGGATGGGAACATCCGGCATCGGGCCCGGAAGGCCTCGCCGACGGGGCTCATGCAGAGAACAACGTGCAGCTTCCGACGGACCCTGCTGATGAAGTGCTGGAACACCTGGCGAGAGGGAGGACGTCTTCAGTGTGAAGTAAGGGTGAAGCCATGATGAACGTACGTGTTGGCTAATGCATCTGACTCGACCAATGTCAAATTTTAAAACCTGTTAGTGCAGTAGACGTGTGAATTGTTTTCTTTAGCATCTCATTGCACCCCTTCCTCTCATGCAGGCTGGAAAGAACAAACGACATTTTGTAGACTCCGTGGCAACTAGGGTTTGGGATGTGATAGGTTTTCTTCATCAGTGGATTTAAGGAGACCCCCTGAATAAAGGGGAGAGAGTATTCACAAGGTTTTGTGTTGGGATAGAAAACCACCGGGGGAAAGAGGCAGGGTGCAGGGCAACCCTTTATGCAGGCGCGGAGCCTGGCACAAGGCGCATGGACCTGGAGCCGCCATCTCTGGATGTGGCTCCTTGCATCGGCTGCTCCCAACATGGTGGGAGGCACGTGGCTGTGGAGCCGGCAGCTGAAGCAGCGGCACCGTGACTGGCTCAGCAGGGATGGCTGTGGCAGAGGCAGCAGTGTCCCTGACCGTTGACCCCTGACCGTTGACCTCTGCAGTGTCATTTCATATTAATTCCAAAGGATTCAGTCTAGAACCCCTTTTTTGGCCTTCCCAATGGTGCTGTGCCCGTCGAATGAAGCCATTTCTGCTTACACTAGCTGAAGCAGACCCCGCTGTCTGTACCTATACGCCCTGCCTTGCAGTGGAGGGAGTTCCCATGAAAGGACACAGAAGGGAAGACATGGGAGAATGGCCAAAAAAAGTTAGAGAAGGTGCAGGAAGAAGGGAAAGGCCTGGGGTAGACAAACAGTAGCCTCCAGAATCTAGCACAGTGTTGGAGAAGCGGAAGTGGACAGCAGCTGTGTTTTGTGTGTCTGTGTGTGTGTAAGAGAGAGAGAAAGAGGGAGAGAGACAGAGAATGGTAATGCCTTTCATGATCTTGCTGATGGGAAAGGGAGTCAAAAGAACTGAACTCCTTAGGCAGGGCTCTGGGAGTGTGTGAAGTAAATTTGTGTTTAAAAAGAATAAGAGAAGCTTTCTAGTTCAGACAGAACTATGACCTCCATGGGGGCAGCAGGGTTTCTGTTTTCTGCCTTCCATAACCTTTTCTTAAAATCTGATGAACCAACACTTTAAATGTCGGAGATTCAAAAACATACAATTACAGAGGAAGCAAATTGTATTGAAAAAATTCTATCCATGGACCCCTCACGGGGATCTTTGGACCACTGGAAAAAGGCTAAGACAACTCTTTGTTTTCCAAAGCCATATTACTGTCCTGACAAGTCCTACCTCATCTCTGTTCCCCTCAGAAATTCCTGCTTCTTTTGCTCTTGGCCTGGTGGCTGCTAAAACCTGCTCCAGTTCATCCTTTTCAAATAAATTAGGCACCTCACCCGAGTTCAGGATGTTATTTATATCTTCTAGGAACTCTTCCACTACAATCTACAGAAGAGAGCAGAGGGATCATTATAACTCGCCCAGCTATTTTACATTCACTGCATGTAAATTATAAAGCACAGATTTGATCCAAAATTCACATTGAGTTAATTTTATCTTTAAGAGACGATAACCTTGAGGGAGAAGCCAAGATGTCTCATGTAGGATGACCCTGAGCTCACCTCCGCCTACAGCACACCAAAATTACAACTATTTATAGAGCAAAGGACTAAGTAAAGTGGAGATAAGGAGTATACCTGATAGAGAGTTCAAGGTAATGATCATAAAAATGCTCACGAATTTGAGAGAAGAGTGGATGAACACAGTGAGAAGTTTAATAAAGAGTTAAAATTCATTAATGTTAACAGTTAATTATAACTTATTGTTGTTGTTGCTTTTTTTTTTTAGCTTCAGAGGATTCAGGATTAAGCAGCCAGTAAATTAAATCATGTGGTTTAATTTAAATATAAAAAATACATAAAGAAGAACCAAACAGAGTTGAAGAATACAATAACTGAAATAAAAGCTTCACTAGAAGGAAGCTACAGTAGATTAGATGATACAGAGGAATGGAACAGCAAAGACAGAGTGATGGAGGTCACCTAAGCTGAACAGAAAAAATAATTTTAAAAAAATGAGGATAGTTTAAGAGACTTCTGGGACAACTTTGAGAGTACTAACTTTTACATTACAGGGGTCCCAGAGGAGAAGAGAGAGAGAAAGGAGCAGGTAATTTATCTGAAGAAATAATAGGTGAAAATTTTCTTTACCTGGGAAAGGAAACAGACATTCGTGTCTAGGCAGCACAGAGAGTCCCAAACAGGATCAGCGCAAACAGGATATATAATTCTTTGAGGTAATATATATAAAATACATATAACACATTCCACCCAAGACAGCAGAATACACATTTTGTTTTCCAAGTGCACATGGATCACTCTTCAGGATAGAGCATATGCTAGGCCACAAAACAATTCTCAATAAATTTAAGGAGGCTGAAATCATATCAGGCAACTTTTCCAACCATAATGCTATGAGACGAGAAATCAACTACAAGGAAAAAACACTGCAAAAACACAAACATGTGGAGGCTAAACAATATGTTCCTAAACAACCAATGGGTCACTGCATAAATCAAAAAGGAAATAAGAAACATCTGGAGATAAATGAAAATAAAAACATGATCCATAATCTATGATATGTAGCAAAAGCAGTTCTGAGAGCAAAATTTACTATATGATACAAGCCTACCTCAAGAAACATGAAAAATCTCAAGTAAACCACATAACCTTACATCTAAAGGAACTAGAATAAGAACAAATAAAACCCAAAGTTAGTGGAAGGAAAGAGATAATCAAGATCATAGCAGAAATAAATGAAACAGAGACTAAAACACAATACAAAAGATTAATGAAACTAAGAGCTGGTTCTTTGAAAACAAACAAAAGTTGATAAAACTTTAGCTAGACTCATCAAGAAAAAAAGAGAGAGGGTACAAATAAATAAAATCAGAAATGAAAGAGAAGTTACAACTAACATCACAGAAATACAAAGGATCATAGGAGTTTACTATGAACAATTATATGCCAATAAAATGGACATCCTAGAAGAAATGGGTAAATTCCTTGAAACATGCAATCTCCCAAGACTGAATCAGAAAGAAATAGAAAATATTAACAGACAAATTACCAGTAATGAAATTTAATCAGTAATTAAAAACTCCAACAAACAGAAGTCGAAGGCCAGATGGCTTTACAGGTGAATTCTACCAACATTTAAAGAAGAGTTAATGCCTATCCTCAAACTATCCCAAAAAGTTGAAGAGGAAGGACTGCTTTCAAAGTCATTCTATGAGGTCAGTATCACCCTGACACCAAAACCAGACAAAGACATCACACACAAAAATTACAGGTGATATCACTGATAAACATAGATGAAAAAATCCTCAACAAAATATTAGCAAATTGAATTCAACAATACATTAAAAAAGAGCATACTCCATGATCAAGTGGGATTTATCCTCGGGATGTAATGATGGTTCAATGTCCACAAATAAATCAATGTGATACACCACATTACCAAACTGAAAAACAAAAATTATATGATCCTTTCCACAGATGCAGAAAAAACTTTTGACAAAATTCAACATCTATTTATGATAAAAACTCTCAACAAAGTGGGTATAGAGGAAACATACCTCAACATAACAAAGGCCATTATGACTAGGCCAGAGCTAACATCATACTCCAAGAGAAGCTGAAAGTGTTTCCTCTAAGATTAGTAACAAGATAAGGATGCCCACACTTACTACTTTTCTTCAACATAATACTGGAAGTCCTAAACACAGCAATCAGACAAGAAAAAGAAAAGGAATCCAAATTGGAAAGGAAGAAGCAAAACTGTCACTTTTTGCAGATGACATCATACTATACATAGAAAAATCCTAAAGATGCACTAAAAATCTATTAGAACACACCCATGAAATTCAGCAAAGTTGCAGGATACAAAATTAATATACAGAAACCTGTTGTATTTCTATAGACTGACAACATACTATCAGAAAGAGAAATTATGAAAACAATCCATTTACAATTATGTCAAACATAATAAAATACCTAGGAATAAATATAATTAAGGAAGTAAAATACTTGAACTAGGAAAACTATAAGACACTGAGGAAAGAAACTGAAGACGGTACAAACAAATGGAAAGAAAGATACACTATATTCATGGATTGGAAGAATTAATAATGTTAAAATTACCATAGTACCCAAATCGATCTGCAGATTCAATGCAATACCTATCCAAATACCAATGGCATTTTTCACAGAATTTTAACAAACAATTCTAAAATTTGTATGGAAACACAAAAGATCCTGAATAGCCAAAATAATTTTGAGAAAGAAGAACAAAGCTGGAGGTATCATGCTCCCTGAGTTCAAACTATATTACAAAGCTATAGTAATCAAACAGTATGGTATTGGCACAAAAACAGACTCATAGATCAATGGAACAGAATAGAGAATCCAGAAATAACACTTATATGAGCAATTAATCTACAACAAAGGAGACAAGAATACACAGTGTGAAAAAGACACTTCAGTCTCCCCAAGTTCCTTGACTGGACACTGCCACAGGCTTTGCCCTGTGGACAATCTACTGTGTCTGCCAAACTTTCCACTTGAGCATTGCTGGGCTACACAGATTGCCAGATGTTCTGACCAGGCTTTCTAGCTGGATGGGGCCAGGAGGTACACTCAACGGTAAGCATGGTAAGGCTCAGCTCCCCTGCCTGGGTGGATCGGGGGGCGGACCAGGCTCCGGGGCTGGCAAGGCTCTTCATTTGAGGACCTCAGATCAGATGGACCAGCATTCTACTGAGTTCCCCGGTCAGACTGAGCCACCGTCCTGGCTCTGCAGAAGAGCAGAGCTGCTGGCTGGGACCCCTGCTTGGGCGCTGCAGGTAAGGACTTGGTCTGTCACGATCTGAGAGCTGGTTGTTACACCTCCATGACTTCCTTGTTGCAATCGAGTTCCCAGAGGTTTGAGTGCTGCAGATTCCCGTGCCCTCCCCGTGATGCGAGACCAGACTGAAACTCCCAAGATGCAGCCCACAACACCGGGGGAGCTGGACGTCCCACCTGGGCATCCTTCCCCCTGGAGGAACCACAGGTTCAGGACAGACCTCTTGATACAGTGCTGCACTGGCCTGGGGGAAGGCAATGTGGCCGGTGTGCAACTGCCCCTCTTACCCTTCCAGTGTGGTCTGTCTTGGTCTCTTGGTGCAGGGGTTTGCTTCAGCCTTACCCCCATGCTCTAGGATTTTCTCAGCGGTGTCTTGTCCACGAATAGTTGTTAGTTGCTCTTGTGAAGGGGAGTGAAGTTGGGACTGACCTATATCGCCATCTTGGTGACGTCACTCTCCGTCATTTTGTTTTTGCATTGTTTTCTTGATGGCATGAAATTGTTGATCTGTGTTCTCTTATAGCTGCCTGAGAACAATTATTTTGAATTCTTTGTGGAGCAATTTGTGGATCTCCATTTCTGGGGGCCAGTTTCTGGAGGTTGACTGTATTTCTTTGGCGGAGTCACGGTTCCCCAATTCTTCATCATCCCTATAGACATACATAAGTGTCTATATCTTCCAGACTTTGTGGAGTGACTTTGGTTTTCCCTGTGGGTGGGAGCAGGCTGGAGCCTACTGGGACCCCAGGTCCAGTGGTGCAGGACATCACGTGTTGGGGGGGCACGTGGTATGGGGAGGTTTATCTCTCTTTGGCTCAAGCCACTGGGGTCCACAGTTATTGACAACTGTGTGTCCCCTGGCGACCACTGCAGGGGGTCTGCGTTGGCTGCAAGGGGTGTTGGCGTCCCCAGCAGCGTCTCCAGGTGCCAGCAGCGATGGGGCCGGAGTCAGTGGTGGGCACACACTCAGCTGCATGATCCTTTTTCATTTGTAAAACATATTTACATATTCAGATATAAACTCACTGCATGTCACAGCTGTTAAACGTATTTTTCCCATTTTAGGATTGCACTTAATCGTGTTTATGGTGTTTTCAAAATTAAAATGGACTTTAAAATATTTATGCATCAGATCACTTTTTTATTCCTTGGCTAACTTCTACAAATGTTTATTTTCCCTAATGTTAAAATACTCAAGTATAATCAATGTAGAAAATCCTCTAAGATCAATTAAATCGGTTGTTGTAGGCATAGATGTAATCCTATTTTAATTTTAGAGTTAATTTAACCAAAACACAGCCATTGTTTTTTCCTTTTCTTGAGTAAAGCATATTTTCCTAATTGACTTCACTTAGGGAATTACTTTCTTAGATTTACCTCTACAGAAATAGTTCATTACCTTTTGCTGTTCATGTCTTCCCCCTCTAAGAAAAATTTAAAAACCCGTCACATTTTCTTGAACATTTACTTACTGAGAGTTTACAGAGGGAAACAGTAGTTGGTAAAAGAAGGAAAAAAAAAGTACTCTAAAAGTCGTTTACAAGGTCCAGGAGCTCTGTTAGCAGAGGGAGGAATTCCCTGAACGCTGTCGGACAGTCTATTCGACACTCACACGTGATGGCAACACTCATCCTTTTCCTGTTCTTGCTTTTTGGGTATTTAAATATGTACCTGGGTGTCCGTGAAGAGGAAAACCATATTCTTGTCTTCGACACCAGCCAGTTTGTACAACTTCCTCAGGTCTTCGTGAAAACTGTCATAGTTGTACCCCCGGCTCAGCTCAATCTGCAAACATCTGTAACCACATATGTGGGCTGCGAGCCTCGTGAGGGACTGCTTTCCTGTGCCGCCCACCCCAACCAGCAGGGCATTGCCTCTTTCCTGACGAACCATGCGGGCAATCCTGGGGGCAGCAAAGCAGAGAACGATTTTAAAAAAAAAGAAGCAGAGGAAGTTTTATGTCAAGTGTACGATGTGGCTTCTGCTCAGAGGGTCATCCCGGAGCAAAACGGCCACCGGAAAGAGCAGGGCAGGTCTGAGGTCCTCGCTGGGAGAAAAGCACTGCCGGGCTTTTCTTGGTACCCGCCTCTCCCCACGTCCTACAGGCTGCTGGCCTTGGCCAGGCACACTGAGTACGCCTGGCTCTCCGTTTGTAAGGATGAGCAAGCAGAAAAGCCACTGCAGCTCAGGAGAGATCAACAGGAATAATCCGAAATGGAGTTTCTTTTTCCTTTTGTAGGTTTTTTTTTTTCGGTGGGGGAAGGTAATTGAAATGGATTTTCCATACCAACAAAATTTTAGAAAACTTATGATTCATGTTAACAATTAGAATTTTTGAAAGTTGCTGTCATGATACTAGAGCGAGCACTCAGAAAGGGGCAAAAAAATTTAAGATTAGGAAAAACTGATTGGAGGTGGAAAAATGTGACTACCAGATTGAAAACCGCAGTGGAAGATGGGTGGGCCTCGCACATAGGACACCATGGAAAACTGAACAGGGAAAGTAGAAGACAAAGTCAAGGATGTTACCCAGAACTCAGAGGAAAAAAAATATGATATTAAAATGACAAGAGAGAAAATGGAAGATTAGGAGGACAGATCTAGGAGAAAGAAATGGGATCCCAGAGGAACTGCAGGAGAGACATGAGGGGACAGAACTGAAGTAACAGAAGAAAGCCCCAGAGCTGAGCCCACGGATCTGAGGACATCGCTGAGGGTCTGCAAAGGAAGCCAAAGAAGAGAAGCAAAACACGAAATGTTTTCTAGGAGGTATATGAATATAAAACAAAATATGTGTGTGTGCATGCAGGTGACTGTATGTAGTCACACATATGTGAATCAATATATGAAATACAGATCTCTATTTTAGACATAATTGAAAATTTGTGAGCATCTAAAAAGTAGATATAATAGATTACTCCCAAAGAGAGAAATACTTTTAGGCTGGCCTCAGGCATCCGTTTTACAAATGGCATTCCGCCACGGTTAGCGGGGAAACTATCATGTTATTGCTCAGCGAGTTAACCACCTGCAAACCCTTCTTTAAAGATTCTGTGAAGGTGCACAGGGAAGTGTGAATACAGTTTAAAAACTCAAGAAGGGGCCTCTGCCTGGCTCGCTCTCTTTTGGGCACAAGCCTTTGGAGCCCTGAGCCACCGTGTAAGCAGCCCCGACACTGGTGCCGCCGTGCTGGAGAGATGGTGGGGTCCGCACGGAGGCAGAGACGTGCCAGGTGCAACTGAGCGGAGATCCAGGAGGGAATGGCTGGGAGCCCCGGGAGATCGTGAACAAATGAAGCCACCGAGTATTACGTGGCTTATTGTGCAGCAGCAGACCACTGAACGTTCTCTGGGCCTTGGTCTAGAAAGATTCTGGTACTGAGCCATCGAGAGATGTTACCAGAGTTAAATGAGATATCCCATCTCATGGTTTATATTCACACCGAGTGCCATTATAATTATTACTGCTCAGCAGGGTGAAGGGAGCACCAGGAGTCACAGGGAGCAGATTTCGCCTTTCCCTCCAATGGTCAGTTTAACACGTTTTACACATTTTAACAATTTAGGAATTGTTCAATAGGACACGAGCCACTTAAAAAAGTCACGTGTGCCCCAAGGACTGCAGACACTCAGGCTGGATACCTAGGTGTCAGGGACGACCCTCAAAGGACACCTGCAGTGGGTATGAGTCAGACTCGTGAGGAGATGGAATCTATGATCCTTGCATTCAATTTGTTTTGCTATAATCTTGACCCCCACTACTTCTTTAGGAAGGCATGTCCCTGGCCTGGGAATACCGCAAACCACCGTAGGTCCTTTTTTGTAATGAGACAGGACACTTACAAAACAAAGCCAATCTATTAAATATTTAGAAGAATAGTGGGAGGGTGTAGCTCAGTGGTAGAGTGTGCGCCTAGCATGCACAAGGCCCTGGGTTCAATCCCCAGTACCTCCATTAAAGATAAATAAGTAAATAAACCTAATTGCCTTTCCCCCGCAAAAAAAAAAATTAAAAAAAAGAAATAACCCCTGAGATTCCACAGAAAGTTCATGACACATGTATTTTAAATGTATCAAAAAATAACATTTAAATTCTAGCGAGATTTGCTAACAGAACTTTGTCCATCTAGCAACCTACTTAAAGACTTGAGCACAACTGAATCCTTACCTTTTAATACAAAAGAAATTGGGTCAATGCATTATTGGGCACTTCATGGCACAATACCTTGAAACGTGCTCTATGGCATCTTGGAAGAACACCAGCTTTACTTCTTTGGGGTTAATAAGGTTATAATCATCCAGATAGTCCTGCAGAACGTTTGCAATTTTCTCCATATCAGGCATGTCATCATAAATCCGATCACTCTTATCCGCTCCAAACTGTAAGGTGATTCATTGGAGAAGAACCAAGTTGGATCAATTCTGACGTATAATATATATAATGTGCATAACCTCAGGAGACAACATTGTTTTATCTATGTTTCTATTTAATCAGTCGCTGAAGTATGCTAGCAGGGCTTCAAAACCAAGGAAACAGGATTAAATTAAATCAGATTTTCATGGCCAGGTAAAAAATCCATTTAATTTAACCTCTTCAAGCGGTATGTTGGAATTTCAATGACCTTTGCAATAAAACTCACACAGGAGCTCAGAAATGGTTTTCAAAGTTTTCTCACGTTACTCTGGTTTTATATTTTTGCTCTTAGGCTGTTGACATCAGAAAAGCGATATGGTTGAACATTATGAATGGCAGACTGTGGTGGTTATAAAAAAAATCATGTCAGAAATATATGTAGTTTTTACACAGCAGTCACTTAACTAATCGCTGAGAATGATATTTGGTGTAAACTCTAGGGAACTGAGTTCCTGCTGGGACCTGCTGATGATGACTTGCCGTGGCTGTGACAACTGCCCCCAGGGGGCACTTTCTTTGGGAACCACTAGCTAAAATCCACAGAGGTATTGGGAGGAGAGCCCAGCACTGCTTTCTGCTTTGCTCCACTCCCCCGTTTTATAGTGACATCACTAGAAACACACAGGAAATAGAATCACCACCTGAAAACAAGCTTTGGACTTTGCTTTTAAGAAGACATTTAAATAGAGTTCATACAAATAAATTGCTTATATTATTTTTTTTTAGTTTTCAGGGGTTACCAGAGTGGTGAGGTATTGCATATGTGTAATACAAAGATGAGTCCATTCATTTGTTCAAACAGCATTGATTGAGAGCCTGCTGTATACTCAGCTCTGTGCAGGACACTGGGGATTTAGGGTGAACAAAACAGACACCGCCCTTCCCTCTCAGAGACACTGAGAATGCGGTTCCCACACAAGAGCCGACATGGTCAGACCAGATGGCTGCCTGTGACTGCAGGCCGGAAGGTTAGACGGAAGTCTTCTAACCTAGAATGAGGTTCATTCATCTAGGACAAGTCTGTTCTAGGGAGATCTAGAGGGTAAAATTAGGGTGTGAGTGTAGATGTTATGGCGGGGACAGACTTGAGGAATTTAATATAAGGAAAACTCTGCTACTAACTAGAGCTACCCTGCAAGGAAGAAGGCAGCACTGCTAACTAACCGGCTTCCCAGGCCTGGAAACATACGAGCGGAGGCTGAAGAGCTACACAGGCCCTTGTAAAGGGGATCCCAGCCCTGAGTTGAGAGACTACACCTCTATGCTTCCTTCCAAACTGAATCCCCGATGGGTCTCTGATTCAAACTATTACCAGAATGAATATAACTAGATTAGAAGTCAGCAATCTTTTTCTCCAAAGAGCCAGACAGTAGATATTTTAGGCTTTGCAGGGCATACGGTGTCTGTGGCTGCCACCCCACTCTGTCTTCTAACCAGAAAGCCACCACACAAATAGCACACAGTCGAATGGACGTGGCTACGTCCCCACAGAACTTCATTTACAAAAATGCGTGGTGGGTGGATCTGGCCTGTGGGACATAGTTTGCAGACCCCCAGTTTAGATCCTTAATCTTCACATGTGCAAAGCTCCTGTAGAATATGAGCTTGAACTAGAGAATGGTAAATGCTTTATAACCTTCAAATGTAGTCAGGTCAACGGACTTACCTTAATGAAGTCTCCAAATATGATGGGCCTAGTCAAAAAGTATTCCAGACCTATTGCAATTCCAAAATGTTTGTCTGTTCAAAAAATAGTTAATTTTTAGTATAATGATAAGCTTGAATGCAGGATATTAATGATGTAATATAC